TTTTTTCTTCTGGGTCAGTGTGTATATTAGAATCCATGAGCTGTAGGTAATTTGAACATAAAAGTGTAAGACAAAACAGTTGTGATACTGTCGTTGGAAAAGAACACCATTTAGTGCATACAAGATAATTTGTAATCCTTATCATGGCTGTTACATTTATACCCAAACATGATTGTTCACTGTGTATCTTTGCCAAAGGTTAGATTTGCCCCACTACCCGTTACACCTTGGGATCTTTGATGACTGTTTTTCTCTCCTCTTAGTGAATATATATATATGTATACACACACACACATACACACACACACACATAATCTAAAACTGGGTGTTCATAGAGAAGGCCGGCAGATTTTTTTTTTCCAGTACCGGGAATCGGATTCACGACCTTGCGCTTGCCAGGCAGGTGCTGTGCCGCTGAGCTAAATCCCCAGCTCCAAGGCAGGCAGATTTTAGAAACCTCAAATAACCAAAAAACCAAAAAGTTTGCTGTAGAGTAGGAAATAAAATAGCAAGTGTACAGCCCTTACTCTACTAGAAGACTTGTATTTCTAGGGTCTGGTAAGAGCTCTGAAGTAGTATATCTGGCTCAGGACCCAGTTCAGTTATAAACCTGTGAAATTTTGGAAGTAAATTTCACATCTAGGCTAAAGGGTTTGAATGGTGTTAAAAGGACGCATGTAGCTCTGTGAGAACCCATCTTCTTCCGTTATATCCCAGTGTCCAGTTTCCCCCTAGTTGTAGAGAAAGTGAGAGGAAGGAAGAAAGCAAGGCATAGACAAGACAGGTCCTTGCCTTTATCAAGTTGCTGAAATACATTTCACATTGTTGGTTTTAGTGCTAGCTCATATTTGCTGAATTCTTAAAACAGACCAAGTATTTCCTGAGCACTTTCTAGGTATATTATTTTATTTCATCTTAGGAGGGAGGTGTCACATTTTTATCAATGAAAAAACAGAGTTATAACTTCTTCACTGTGCCTGAAGTTTAGGAAGTTGTTCTAAGTCATGTAACTACTGTGTGTTGGAGGCAGTTCTTTTTTTTTTTTTTCTCCGGTACCGGGAACCGAACTCATAACCTTGCGCTTGCCAGGCAGGCGCTTTGCCGCTGAGCTAAATCCCTAGCCCTGGAGGCAGTTCTGAACACAGTAGGCTGGCTCCGGAGCTCCCCACTTTTAATTACAAGATATAGGTCATTTTTCTTTCTGTTCTGGCAAACAAAAATTCATCAGACAAGCCCTCAAGTGGGTGCAGTTTTGGGAAAAGGGAGTGAATTGCTCTTTCTCTCTCACATAGTCCCACAGAGTAGGTCATGATACTGTCCTTGTTTTATGGACGGGGTCAGGAAGACGTAGAGGTTAAACAGCTTTTCTTAAAACACAACTGACAAATGGCAGAACTTTACTGATTGCAACCCTATTTACATTTCAGACTCTTCTTGATACACTATCCTAAAGGTAGAATTTTACATTTATGTAAATAGGGCAGATTATCTTATGATTCAGTTTACTATTTTCCAACTTGTAAAACTTTTATTGCTCTTTGTCTTTGTGGATGAGAACCTTTAAAATTTCTTTCTGTCAGTTTAATGGCCTTAGGGAGGAAATAAAGTAAAGTGGGAAAGTTCAGTCCATTGTCTTTATCTGGAGTTTTTGGTTTGTTCTTTTGATGTTTGAGACAGGGTCTCACTATGTAGTGTAGGCTGGCCTTGAGTTCACTAGGTAGCCCAGGCTGGCCTCCAACTCACAGTGATCCTCCTGCCTCAGCCTCCTGATGTCTGGGATTATAGTTGTGCCATGCCTGGCTTGTAATTTCTTAAGCTATATATTTCTTAAGCTATATAAGTTTTCTTAAGCTATATTTTTCTAGGCAATTATCCAGTGTTTTAAGTTTAAAAATGTATAAAGGTTATGGAGTTCTCTGTAGTGTTCTCTTATTTCTAATTTGTATTAGTCTCTTGCATTCCTAATATTTTAAATTTTTACTTTCTTTGCATTTAAAAATAATTTTGGCAAAAGCTATCTGATTCATTGTCTTTTAAAAATTAATCTGCTTTTGTTTTCTCTGTCACCTCTTTTTGTCTGTAACTTTCTGCTCTTTCTACTTTGGGTTTATGTAGTTCTTAAGTTTTTGTATTTGGATTCTTTAATTTGCTAATTTTCCATTTTCTTAATTTCTAATATATAAGCAAGCTGTATTCCAAATTTTTTGTATGAACATGTGCATTGTAGAATTATTATAATAGTAGAAATATGGATTTGATGTTAAGACAATAGTCTAGTAACTGTTGTAATTCATCTTCTGTTATATAGTACTTATTGGTTATGCTAACCTTGAAAAATATATTTAATTATGAAGTCCAGGTGGGGAAATTGAAAAGCAATGTCAAATTATAATTATGAAAATGTGGATACATGTGGACAAGAATTGGGAAGTAACAGAAAAGGGAGTTTGACTGCTTATAAAGGCTATTCTTTCTTTTTATTTTATTGTTTTGCTGCCTTTAAAGAGAAGCTTCATTTACCTGGACAGTTAATTCAGATAGCCTACTTTATAACTCATGTAGCTTTACTTTAATTCAAAGTCGAACAAGTGAGTTATTCCATCTTCCAAGGAATTAGAGGAGACATGGCAGATATGTAAAGGATACATGGGCCTTATCTTTAACCTTTCTTCTCTGGGTTGACGAGGTGAACTTGAAGCCACGATTCCCGTGACTGAGTCTGTGTGGGAATCCACGGCAGGGGCCGTGACCGAACACCGTGCAGTGCACTCAGGGCTGACCGCATTGTGATCACTGCAGGTCCTGTGCGGAGATGCAGGGGAAGACGCTGAGTGTCACGCAGCCAAACTTCTGGAAGTCATCATTCTTCAGTGCAAAGGAAGGGGAATTGATCAGGTAATACGTGTCTCGAAAGTGTCTTACTAGACATTTATATTAAAAATATACCTACCTGCCAGATTGATACTGTGTTAATTTTGGTGGAAAATTTTAAAAAGATAGCCTATAGTTTGTGCTTGCTGGTGCAAATCTTATTTAAATGACAAAAAAAGCCATGCAATTTGGAAATTATACCTTGTATTCTATCTGAGAAAGGGAGGCACAGAGAAATACTGTATATAGTAGTTAAAGGAGCTACCAGTAAAATAATGAAAGCCCCAGTGATTCACCTGTCCCTGTGTGTCTGCGTGTGGTACTAATCAAACCTGGGGCTCCCACATGTAAACATATACTGTATCGTACCCTTCCCCTTGTTTTGTTTTTTGTATGCTTAAATACTCCCTGGGTATTTATTTTTATTTTTTATTCTTACACATCTGCAGTACACAGTGATTACAATAAATGATATACATGGCGAGTGGTACTTGTACATAACACATCTTAATTTTTCTTTCCCTACCCTTCCCCACTCTCTCCAACTCTTGGTCCCCTTCCCATTGCAAAAGCTCTATTTTCATCTTCAATTCTTTTTTTTTAACCCCGTTTTCCTCCCTCCCCTTCCTCTTCTCTCTTATTCCCTTATCTATTTGAAAAAGATCTCCCTGCTTCCTATTAATCTTCTGTTTTCTCCATGTATACATTTTTTCTTATATAAGAAAACACATGCAATGTTTAAGCTTGTATGTCTGATTTTACTTAATATTGTCTCAAGTTGCATCCATTTATCCAGGAATGCTTCAGATTTATCTTTCTTTATGTCAGAATAGTACTCCAATGTATGAACTACCCATATGCTTTATCCACTCATCTGTTGATGAGGATATAGATCATGTAAAGATTTAGCTGTCATGAATTGTGCTGCTATAAACATGGGTGTATGTGTATTGCTGCAATATGATGTCTTTAACTCTTTGAGATGATACCAGGAAGAGAAATAGCTGGGTCAAATGGAATTTCTGGTTTTAGTTTTTGAGGAATCTCCACACTGATTTCCATAGTGGTTCTACTAGTTTACATTTGTACCAACAGTGTATAAAGGTTCCTTTTCCCCCTGTAGCCTCACCTGCATTTGTTATTAGTTGATTTCTTAATGATAGCCATTCTGTCTGGAGTAAGATGGAATCTCTGTGTTTTTTAATTTGCATTTCTGTAATGGTCAGGAAAGTTGGAACTTTTTTCATGTATTTAGTGGCCATTTGTACTACTACTGAGAAGTGTCTGTTTATTTTAGTTGCTCCTGAGGTATCTTTTCTAAAAAGAAATTAAGATAGTATGAAAAAAATGAAGTTTCTCTTGACCAACTTAAAAAGTATAAAGTTACATTGTATGTTTTTTTAGAAGTACAAATATATAAATTTTGATAAGATTAATTTTTGGCACTATAATTACTAAAGAAAAATGTTAAATCACTTGAGTGAAATTGTGAATTTCTCTTTTTCCTTACAGTTTTGTAGTAGTTTTATTGACATATAATTCGTATACTGTGCATTTCACTTATTTAAAGTGTATACTTTAGTGATTTTATGTTCACAGAATTCTGTAACTATTACAATTTTAGAACTTTTCATTACCCTTCCTTCCAAAAAATCCATGTATGTATTAGCATACTCTGTATTTCACCACCCCTGATGCACTGTCACTCTTCATACATTTGCCTGTTGTGGATGTATCACAGAAATGCAGTTAGTGTTCTGTGTGGCCCTTTTCTGTAGGCTTCTGGCACTTGGAATAAGGCTTTCAAGGCTGACCCATAGAGTAATATACATCAATACCTATGTGTTTGTGTTGCTGAATAATATTCCATTGTTATAGGTGTGTTATGGTTTGTGTCTAGATGTCCCTCCAAAACCTTATGCAGTCTTTGGCTTTTTCAGAGTAGGTGAATCTAGAGTTTGTGATTGATTCATGGTCCAGTGCTGGGATTAAGGGTGTGAGTGCTATACCCACCTTAGGGCAGATAGCTTGCATACAATATAAGGGACACAAAGAGGCTTGTCTTTCTGTGTTGTTGCTTTTGCTGTCTTCTGCCACCATGAACTGTTGCCCCTCTGCTATGTGCCACGCTGCCTTGGTGCCACCAAATTATGGACTGAAACATCCACAAACTGTGAGCTAAATAAATATTTTCTCCCTTAAGTTTGGATGTTGGATATTTTGTCTGAGCAATGAGAAAAGGAAGACAGAATTTGATACCAGAGATGTGGAGTCATTGCTGGGCCTATACCTGACCACATGGCTCAGGAGCCTTTGGAAGTGGCTTGTGGGAAGAGTTTGGAAAGGTTTGGAGATATCAGCTGAAAGAGTAGAGCTGGAATGCCTTAGGCTGTATAGTATGGGAGAATCTGGGTCAGAATGTACAATTTGGCTTAGAGCTCAGAAGACCAGAAGGCTGATAGAAATCCTGCCAGTAAAGCCCAGGCTTGGGAGGTTTCTGCTGAGAAGAAGGACTGCATTGGCTGTTGGACTCCAGATGATCTGTGTTATGGCTTGGCAGAAAGTTTGTCTCAATTTTGCTCCTGTCCAGAGACTTTACCTGAGACTGAGATTAAGAGTGGTGGACTAATTAATCTGGTGGAAGAAATTTCAAGGCAGTCAATGTTGAGGCAGTGGCATGGCTACTTTTGGGGACTTTTAGCCAGATCTATGTTGAGGATCAAGAGCAGGGAACCCAGCAGAATGATTTAAGATGTTGTGAGTTTGGCCAGAAAGGAAGCTCAAGTAAAGCTGTGGTACAGCAGAGGAGATCTTGATTGCTGAGAAGCAACAGAAGAATAGAAAAGATGGCCTGGAGGCATCACAAGAAGCAGCAGGACTCCACCCTTTGCAGCCTCAAAATTGCAAAAGTGAAAGACTTTAGTGTGAGAAGAAAGCCCAAGAGCACCATGTTCTAGAATGACGACAGCCTGGTCAATTTGTTCCTCAGAATTAGATTCAGAGTGCTTAGGGATCTAGGCACTTGACTCCTACACCCAAAACAGAGGAAAGTCTGGCTTCTGCTCCAGCTGGCAGCAGACCTTGGTGTCATCCATGTAGCACTGGTTTTAGGCACATGCAGAATGCAGGAGTTGTGGGGTCAGGAAGGCTTCCACCCAGATTTCAGAAGAAGGCCTGAAAGGCCAGGCAGTGTGCCTCTGAGAGGGAAGTGTGTGAAGCTGTGAGTGTGAAGCCAAAAGAGCAGTGGAAACCCCAGAAGCTTGGAGAAACCAGCAACATGGATCTCCTGAGGAAAACTACAAGGAGGGAACAGAGCAGACCCAAGAGAGAAGCCATGGGAACTATGACCACTGAAAGTCCTATAGGAGCAGAGCCACCCAAGCCCTTTGGAGTTCACATCTTGCCACAGATTGCCACAGATACTGCACATGGAACTATAGGGTTTAATGTTTGCCCTGTTGAATTTTGGACTTGCTTTGGTCCCATTCTTTTGTATCCCCTGTCTGTAACAGGGGAATGGAAATATCTGTCTTGTGCCTTTGAATGTTGGAAGTGTTTAACTTTGTTTTCATTTGTATAGGGGCTCACAGCTAGGAGTTCGCCTTAAATCTGAAAGGAGACTTTTGATTTGTGCTTTCCAGCAATGCTGACACTGTTAGGACTCTGACAACTCTTAGAGATAGACTAAATGCCTTTTTCATAAAAAAATGTACATGAGTCCTTGGGGTACCAGGGGTGATGTTATGGTTTGTGTCTAGATGTACCCCCAAAGCCTCATGCAGTCCTAGGCTTTTTCAGAGGTTGATTCATGGTCCAATGCTGGGATTGAGGGTGTGAGTGCTATACCCATCCTAGGGCAGATAGCTTGCATACAATATAAGGGACAGAAAGAGGCTTGTCTTTCTTTGTTGTTGATTTTGTTGTCTTCTGCCACCATGAACTGTTGTCCTCTGCCATGTGCCACCCTGCCTTGGTACCAACCAATTATGGACTGAAACCTCCACAAACTGTGAACTAAATAAACCTTTCCTCCCTTAACTTTGAACATTGGGTATTTTGTCCCAGCAGTGAGAAAAGTAACCAAGGCAAGGTATATCACATTTCTTATATCAGTTATTCATTAGAATTATTTCCACTTTTGGGATGCTGTAAATACTGTGAGCTAGTATGAATGTTTGTATGCGAGTTATTGGGTGGGCATATTTTCATTTTCTACGAGTGGAAATGTCTAGTGGTTTTTTTCCCCCTGAATCTCTTGAGATTTTTGTCCTTTATTGAGGTTTTTTCCTTTATTCTGTTTATTTTTAGATGTTCAGTCAATCTTATATTTCTCATATATAAACCTCACTTAGGCATAGAGTATAATCCATTTTATATATTTTTAGCCTAAATTTGCTTTTTTGTTTTTGTGGTGCTGGGGATCAAACTGAGCACCTCGTGTATGCTAAGTAAGTGCCTCACAAATGAGTTTTACCCTTAAATATGTTACTTTTTAAAAGTGTTTTGTTGTCTGTGTTCATAAGAACTATTGATCTCTAATTTTTTTTTCCTGTGATGTCTTTGGTTGATTTTGGTGTCAGAGTAATGCTGGTCTCGTAGTGATTTGGGAATGATTTGGCCTTTCTTTATTCTTTCAAAGAGCTTGTGAAAGGTTGGTATTTTTTGAATGCATGGTAAACTTCAGCAGTGAAGCCTGGCCTGGTTTTTTCCTCTGTGGATAGCTTTCAAATTACCAACACAATCTCTCTATTTGTTAGTCTGTTTATATTCTCCATTTCTGTTTTAATTGATTTCATTAGTTTGTGTCTTTCTGGAATTTGTCCACTTCATCTAAGTTATCTAAACTATTGACATATGGTCATTTATAGTATTTCCATGTATTTTCGTTTTGTTTCTAGAGGGCCAGTAGTAATAGTAACTACCCTTGTTTTGTCCCTGTAGTAATCTGTCTGTCTGTCTGTCTCTTTCTCGGTTGAGCTAAATATTTGGCAATTTTGTTGAACTTTTCCAACAACCAACTTTCT